AACTGGTAGTAGGGAAGAGCTTACAGGCAATCAGTTCCACACATTATGGGGCTTTTAAATTACGCCACAAGGTTTTTAAACTCTGTGCTGTTGCCTTGTTGAAACAACGCAGCTCACAAATCTGTGAGTCAAGCGTTGAAGAGCTAGAGAGAAACCATCCTTCCTTGGCAAAGGTGGTTAGGGCCATCAGGCAAACTTCAGAGTTCAGATCAGTCCAAAATCCAGGCATTTCTACAACATCCTGAAGAAACAAAGACAAAAGAAATCAACACACATACACAGACACACTACACTCCCACAGAAGCGTCCTCTATCACAGTCAAGTAAAAGAGGAAGAGGAGAGAAAGAACTTTTGCGAAAACATTTGTATGCTAAAAAAGAGGAAAAATATTATGCATATATTTCATGCCATCCAGTTCATATTACAGATATAATTTCTGTCCCCCCACCACAAGAACGTTAGTATCTAAAACATGGTCAGGACAAGAAGTCCGTTGATGAACGCCAAATACCAAACAGAAAATCTCTAAGACATGGGAGATAACGAAGGCATGTCAAACTGCTTATGTAAAATATTTGCATTCTGGCCTGTTTTCTATGAGAGCCTTCCAAAGGAAGCACATAGAATCATTAAAGTAATTCACCAAGTTCTGCCCAAATCATTTGTTCCCCATGTTGGAATAAAACCTACAGCACCTGCAAGTCACTGCCACAGAACCACATAGTGGTTGCCTACCTCTTCCTCATGCAGCCCAGAACACCACTGGTGGTCTTGGCCACGACGGCCCATTGCTGCCTCATGGTCAACTTGGTGACCACCAGGACGCCCAGGTCCTTCTCCACAGAGCTGCTCTCCAGCAGGTCACTCCAGCCTGTCCTGGTGCCCAGGGTTGCTCCTTCCCAGGGGCAGGATTTGGCACTTCCCTTGGCTGGGATGTCAGCCCGTTTCTCCAGCCTGCCATGGTCCCTCCGAGTGGCAACACAACCATCCGGTGCATCAGCCCCTGCTGCCGGGTTTGCACCACATGCAAACATGCTGAGAGTGCATCTGGTCCCATCATCTTGGTTGTTAAAGATTATGTTAAACAACACTGGAGCCAAATTTGATCCCTGGGGTTTACTGCCAGTGCTTGCCAAGCAATGATTTTCCAAAATTGGATGCTGAATTTTTTCTTCTCATCTCCAAAACAATCATTCAAGTCAATCACATCAGCTTGGAATTCCCATCTTGCAGGGCTCTTCTCCATGTGTTAAAATGTCCACAGACCATTCGAAAAAAAAAAAAAAAATTCTTAAAAGCTGGTTCTGTGAAGCAACTGCACCCCCCAAAATCAGACATTTCAAAGAGTTGAATGAGACTGTGGCAACGAGGACAGTGAAGCAAAGACCAAACTTTTCCACTTCATCCCCCACTGTGTTAGGCTTCCTAGTGTCTCTTGGGTGAAAAAGAGAGGGAAATAAAGCAAAGGAAAGAAAAAAAAAGAGGGTCTGTTTCCTCTGTCTGTCCACGGTTAAGTACGAAGCAACCAATACCAAATAGAGAACTGGAAGTGTTGTGAGGAAAAGTCACCCTAACCTCTGTATCTGTCTTTGCTCTTTTCCATTTCCAGCTTCCCATCAGTTTGAAGATCACAGTAACCAACCCCAATGACCATCGAAGCACAGTCGGATCCAGCACCAGGAGGGAGAGACTCAGGCCAGCAAAGAGGACCAGCACCTCCCTCGAGTTAAGGCTTCTGCAGAAAGTAAAATCTTTTTCTGTATCACAGCCTGGGAAGGCAACGGCCACCTCAGTTCTAAACTTCAAAGCCTTTATTTTTAGCATAGCAACCTTGAAGAGAAAGTGAGGCCTAAACAAGCAATTGTCTATTCCAGACGTCCTGCTCCCAAGAACAAAAGTACATAAGGAAGTGCTGTGAACAGTCTATCAACAGCTCATGAAGTGGAAATTGTTAAAAACAATTGCACCAACACACAAACACAACAAGGACTTAAGAGAAAAGGGGAAAAAATAGCATTATAGATGTCTAACTTCACTGAAAAAACACTGCTAAAATACTCCCATGCCTGTTTGGATTTGAAAGTAAAGCTGTATAGGAAAAGCACATGCATATGGCACATGTAGGGAGCAGAAAATCCTGCAAGACGAAGTCATGCCTGCCCAGCAAAGATGAAGTAACCCAAACACT